AAGTGGTTCTAAAGCGTCTTTGTTGTTTCTTCTGTGAAGTATTCGTAGTGTATAGAGCCATTAATAGTGTATGTGGGTTTGAAGCGTCTTCTGTGAATCATTCGTAGTGTATAGAGCCATTGGTAGCGTAGGTGGTTCTGAAGCGTCCTTGTTGTTTCTTCTGTTAAGCATTCGTAGTGTATAGAGCCATTGGTGGCGTAAGTGGTTCTAAAGCGTCTTTGTTGTTTCTTTTGTGAAGTATTCGTAGTGTATAGAGCCATTAATAGTGTATGTGGTTTTGAAGCGTTAAACAATGCCGATATCACCAACTATCACTTCCTCAAGGCCTTGTAACCTCGCAACAACGAACGCGAGAGATGTTGCAAACGAACCATCTCTCAGGTGTAATCATGTGCTGCTGAGACTGGACGTCTATACTAGGGTATGACTTAAGAGGACGTCTATATTTGCGGATGACTTAACAGGACGTATATACTTGCGTAAGATTTAACAGGATGTCTATACTTACGTATGGCTTAACAGGACGTCTACACTTGCGTAAAATTTAACATGACGTCTACACTTGCGTAAGACTTAACAGGGCGTCTACACTTGCGTAAGACTTAACAGGGCGTCTACACTTGCGTAAGACTTAACATTACGTCTATACTTGCCTATGGCTTAACAGGACGTCTATAATTGTGTATGGCTTAACAGGACGTCTATACTTGCGTATGGCGTAAGGAGCTGCACACAAATCCTTAGATATACTCACTTGTTGTCGTTGGCAAATTCGAACGAAGGTCTAGTTGTTATGGGTGTGTATGAAGCTAACACACATCTACACCATATTGCCCAGGTACAAGCACTGTGCCTTTGTGCGATCCCGATGTTGAGCAAACGTGTGTATATGTATACATGTATGTATCTTTATTATTTATGCCATATATGCATGTATACATGTATGTGTCTTTATTTGTGCCATCTATGCATGTATACATGTATGTATCTTTTTTAATGACATATATGCATGTATACATGTATGTATCTTTATTCATACCATATATGCATGTATACATGTATGTATCTTTATTTATGCCATAAATGCATGTATGCATGTATGTATCTTTATTTGTACACTACCCACGCATGTACCTCTACCTACCAATCCATACAAGCCGCACCCACACAACTATAAGGCAACTAACTGCGCAGCCCTGCTAAGTACTGCTAGACACAGCCAGCTTCTTCAGATGCTCCATAAACACTTGCAGACTCACATCGTCTGTGATCACTGGGGCAGCCGAGGGGTCTGCTCCGTAGGCGTGGGCGTTGTTGTGTGACTGTGAAGGGTTGACCTTGGCCAATAAGAAGCGTGCTTGACTGCCGCCTTGGTCCGTATCGATGAAACGGGGCACGGGGAAGCGCTCGTTGATTATATCCTGCATTCGAGATAGGGTAAAAAAATGGGAAGAAGCGTGATGGGAATAAGGATAGGTAGAATAATGATGGGAATAATAGGAATAAGAAGAGAAGTGAGAATTAAAATAAGAATAAGTGGAATCATAATTGGAATAAGAATAAGTGGAATCATAATGAGAATTATAGGAATAAGAAGAGGTGTCATGGGAATAAGAATAAGTGGAATCACAATGGGAATAATAGGAACAACAAGTGTAAGCCGATGTGTATGGGAAGCTCGCGTTGATTATATCCTGAAGGTGGGTAAAAAAGGGAAGAGGCGTGATGGGGAGAATAGGAAGAAGAAGAATAAAAAAATATTGTATATAGGCTATTAGTACGTGAGAATACTGTGCTGTTAGTATGTGTTCAGCCAAGTAATGGGGAGAATATATATAGGCTGTTAGTGTGTGTTCAGCTAAGTAATGGGGAGAATATATATAGGCTGTTAGTATGTGTTCAGCTAAGTAATGGGAAGAATGTATATAAGCTATTAGTATGTGTTCAGCCAAGTAATGGGGAGAATTATATAGGCTGTTAGTATGTGTGTAGCTAAGTAATGGGGAGAATATCTATAAGCTGTTAGTATGTGTTCAGCTAAGTAATGGGGAGAATATATATAGGCTGTTAGTATGTGCATGACAACACAGTGAGGGCCTTAACCCGTTTCCTCATCACACGTCGTTACTTGGCTGAGCAACTTTGACTGTGAGCATACAGTACGGATATATACACCACCCCGAATGCAACCAGTCTGATTAGTATCATCAGTAGAAGGTGTGCAGCTATACACGTGTGCGTATACGTTAACGGATGACAACCCTACAATTCCAAGAAAGCGTACCTTAGCGTCCTTCACCGGTGCCTCGAGCAGTAACCTGAAGTTCTCGTATTCGGCTTGGTTTTGGTATCCCGCTTTACGCCATGCGGCGACGGTTTCTCCGTGCCAGATGAGTATATGGAAGAACGAATCCAGCAGAAGAATACGGTCCTGTACGTGACGAGAGTGTATGTTGTGAGTTAATTGGCTTTGTTTAGCATACACAGGGTGGACGGGGGTGAATTTAATATGATGTGTGTGTATGTTGTGAGTTAATTGGATTTGTTTAGCATACACAGGGTGGACGGGTGTGTATTTAATATGATGTGTGTGAATGTTGTGAGTTAATTGGCATTGTTTAGCATACACAGGGTGGACGTAAGTGTATTTAATATGATGTGTGTGTATTCAATAAAATGTGCGTCTATTCAATATGATGTGTGTATATTTAATATGATATGTGTATATTTAATATGATGTGTGTGTATTCAATATGATGTGTGTGTATTCGATATGATGTGTGCGTATTCAATATGATGTGTGTGTATTCAATATGATGTGTGTGTATTCAATATGATGTGTGTGTATTCCATATGATGTGTGTGAATTCAATATGATGTGTGTGTATTCAATATGATATGTGTGTATTCAATATGATGTGTGTATATTCAATATGATGTATGTATTCAATATGGTGTGTGTAATTAATATGATGTGTGTGTATTCCATTTGACGTGTGTGTATTCAATATGATGTGTGTATATTCAATATGATGTGTTTATATTCAATATGATGTGTGTTTATTCAATATGATGTGTGTTTATTCAATATGATGTGTGTATTTTCAATATGATGTGTAATGCATATGATGTGTGTGTATTCTATATGACGTA